AACAATGCATTGTTTTCCTCTGTTATTTTTCTAATATAAGAATAGAATACAATGATACATTCTCTTTTTTGTTATTAACAAACAAAAACCGTAATTATTTTCACTGCTGTTGAAGTTTTCCTTATTGTTTCTGTACATAGACGAATGCTTCAGTAAATCTATCGGCAAGTTTGATATCATTTTCATCCATTTGTCGTTCGCATTTATTCTCTAGATAGGGTCGTATGATATTTTGATTGAGATACTCTTGGAGTAGCTTCATTGCTTTCGTACTTTTTATTCCATGTTCTTGCTTGCTTACTTCACTAATAAAATTGTTCATTGTTCTTTTCAACAATCTGCCGCCTGAATTCGATTGCTGTTCACTGATTCTTTGTAAATCAGCTCGCTGTGTTGAAGCCGTACCAAAGGTAATATTAAAAGCATCGAAAATTCGACGATAATCTTCAATCGCTTGATGATTGTTAGTTAAATGATCAATATCATTTTTAAACTGACTTTCACGTTCAATAACTGGACCAAGCAATTGACGAACATTAGCATTCAATTGGTGTTTGATCTTTTCAAAAATAGCAAATTTGTCAGACGATTGTAGAATATTGGTTATGAGTTTATGTGTTCGATTGTCAAAGCCTTCAGTTGAATTGAGCTGTTTAATAGTTGTTGTGAAAAGATCACAAATTTCAGCTTGTTCAAGTTTAATAACACGTTCAAGAGCATTTCGTAGAACTATGCCAAACATATCGATGAGTGGCAATTTATTGACATGTTTATCCATACTAGTAAGTGCATGTGAAAGAATGTCTTGATCATTATTACTAATTACATGTTGACCATTAGGTATGTGATGATAAAAAACGTCGTGTGCAGTCGCGTAACAAAAGCAAGTGGTTTATATTTAATTGGCGATTTTGTTCTAACAAAATCACCTGACAGTAATGATACAGTGGCGATGATGTTTAAAACCATGAGAACCGAAAGAATGATCAAATTTGCGCTTGAATTTCCTGAAGAATCTCAAGGGGAAAGATTTTATGTGATATTTCATAACGTGCGATCATTGAATAAACATTTTTCGGACATCAAATCTGACAAAACATTTTTGTCTGCTTTTATGATAAGTC